CATCCCCCCCCCCCCCCCCCCCCCAGGTATTTGACAAAAGCATAAATCATTCTGATTGTTTGGATAAAGGAAAATGTACTGAAATATCTCCAGAAAATGGTACTGTTAAAAACACGTGATCATCTGAAATCACAAGGCCATGGTTTTCTATACCTCTCTCCATCCAATGCAGTGCTCTTTCTGTTTTAATATGTGAAACCAGAACAAATGATGAAATAAGGCCAATTTCTACTTTCTAACACAAGTTAAGACCTTCGTACGATCAGCGCCAACCTTACTGAGAACTGAGCACACAGAACTGGATTTACCCCTTTCTCAAGAGTTAAAAAGCTCTGTTCACTTGGCACTGACCCCAACCAGCAGCTCTGAACCCCTGGGTACAATGAAGACTCCTGTAGCTCCATGTTTTCTTTCCCATCAGGTGTACACTACATGGAATACGAGCTATTTGATGCAGTTAAGTTATTGCATAATTGTAGTTTAATACATTAAAACAGTACTGTGAGGTGCAACAGAAGAATATGACGATTGTATTTGGTGAATGTTTTGAATATTAAAAGCTATTTGCTCTATAGTGTTTTACCTGTTGAGGTGATCCACTACTGCACAGAAATAACTGCCAAATATGTGTTTCAACTCTTAAAATGAATATTGATAAATTTATTCAATATTACTAATCCAACCTACTGAATACACTTTCTTGCTCTTTCACTATGTCATTTTTCCCTAGTGGTCTTCAGTTTTTCTTTGGTACAAAAGACTTCAAGAAAAACATATTGTTCCAAAGGCCTGTTCATGTATTAAAATTTGCACTCATTAATTCAAATAAGTAAGCATAAAGCAAGTATACAAGGAGCATCAACATTGCTGTTCCAACTTACAGTAAATATAGTCATGATTCAACTACCCTCAGATCTAAAGTTTCACCATCCAGTTACGGAAGTTCTTACAGCTTCCCAGGATACTAGAAGGCTAATAAGGTACAGTAGGGGAAACTAATCTTTTCCCCCTCCTCCCACTCCCATTTCCCTCACTGTTAAGTTCATTATTGTATGGCAGCTTTTATTAAGGTCTTTACTATATACTGAGACAGGATTTTCCTACAGTAAAACAATAAATCTTAGACACTTCAAGAAAATAAGGTCCTGTAGCAATGTATCACTTACTAAGCTAACTTTGAAGTATGAAGGCATTTGTATCAGAATTATAAATAACTGACATTAGACCAGTAAAATCTAACACTACTTCTTTTTGCAGCTTACTCTAAAGACATTTAGAGGTGTTACCAGCTTTTCAGCACTGTTAAGGAGCATCTTTCTCACCACACACAGGTAAAAGAAACAGACAATTAAATAACAACTTGGCTCAAGACTACAGGTCAAGTCACAAATGACTGCAGAACCTAGATCTCCTGACCTGTGTTCTAAGTACTGCCAATATGGCAAGACACAAGTTATTATTTCACAAAAGTAAAGACGAGAGATGGAAAGGTGCTGGGTAAGAAGTAGAGAATTCATTCCTCACTTCCAGTTGAATATTCTTGTCTTTCTATTCCATGTTTCTGTTTGCTATTAAGCACTTCCACAGTTATGAAACAGCTTAAAACACCACAATGCGGAGACACCTATGGATTAGCAGGATTATTTTCATGTGATACATTTCTCATCAGGCATGTTGCAGAATGGAACACAGATCATGGAAATGAAAAAAGACTCAGGACAGATTTGGAGACCAGAGTTCTCATGCATAGCATCTGAAGAGGAGATGCTCCTTAGGTTTCTTTTCCCTTTCTTAGTATTATACCATTAAAGACACCCTCCTGTGAACAGTGATCTATTGTGAAAAAACAGACCATCTTCTGGTC